GGAATTGCTGTTTGTTACAAGTTTTAGAATCTATTCGGGTGATTTGCCGTTCACCTCATTCACACACTCCTCCTAGCCCAGGTGGTGGAAAGGTTCAAAAAGCACGTGGATGTGGCACTTCAAGACATGGTTTAGTGAGCACGGTGGTGTTAAGTTGATGGTTGAACTTGGTGATCTTAGAGGTCTCTTTCAACCTTAATGATTCTGTGAAATGACCCGTTTTGAATCCACACTTAGCCTGAGCCCCAGCAGAGACCACGCATTGGTGACTGGTTACAGACTTGAGATGGTCCTGAGACCTAGCTGGGCTTGGTGCTGTACGGGGCTTGTGCTGTAAGGTCAGAGCAGCCCTGTGTGAGCTGTGTTCGAGGAACAAAGCACTGCAGGGAACTACTTGGTTGTCCATGTCCAATTAGGAAGAAAGTTTAGGATCTTGCAGCAAATTATGAGCTTGCTGTAAAGTTCACTTACTTGTTTCTCACTGGAAGGCCAATGCCTGAATAGTTTTGGACAAAATAGTGTGGTTCTTTAATGCAGTGGTCACAGTGGGAGCTGTGACTCTGACAGCTGCCTGGCTGAGGTCCAAGGAGGGTCCAGTGCACTGGAACATCAAGAAGGTTTGTGATTTCTTTTCAGATCCATTATTGCTAGGCATGAAGGATAATTTACCAACTTTGCTATTCTTTGATTACTCACTGCTTTACAAAAGAACATACATTGTACAGCAGTAACAGAGTCACCAAAGTTAACCGTAAGCGTTCAGCCTAAACCCAGAGTCAGTCCTTAAGTGGTGCAGTTCCAGGAAAAAGTGAGCTTTTTTTTACCTCCACAGAAAGCTTCAAGCCTTGGCCAGTCCCCACAAGGAACTGTCATGGACAGGTTACGTTGACAGCTGGACTTTTTTTCCACTGACACTTGCTTTGCTCTTCAGCTTTTCCAGCTATTTGGAGTGGAGCACTGAGCTGACACTGGAAAGCAAGGCTCTGGCTGATTTTTCTCAAATCTACCTCTGCGTCCAGGAGAGGTCAGGGAAGTTTGCTTTTTCTGCCTATATTAGCTTGTCCCTGTAGTGCATTTCCTAGCCTTGATTCCATGTGCTGGAGGTTAGTGCTTGGCCAGTCTGTGAGGACCCAAGTGCAGTTCTCTCTGATGAAGTGGAGTTGAGACCATAATCTACTTCCTGAGTGCCAGGAAATGAAGTATTTTTGAAGTATGGAAGGTTGAGAGCTCTTTCACTTGGTAGATTGTAACTCACACACTTATGGAAACTAGAAATGGAGCCTAGGTTGTTGTCTTCTGTGGAAAGGTAGCTGTGATAAGGCACTTCTCAAAATGGCTTGTTTATGCACCCTATCGTTGTTCAGGTATTAGGAATCTAGCTAGGCATTGAGCAGCTCTAGACTTGATGCAACTCTAAACCATCAAGACATAACCAGGTCTTCATGAGCAAGCACATATTTATGTATCAGGAGAACTTTGTTGTAAAAGACTGAGGCATCTGGGGATATAGGCATTGCCAGGGCTGGGTGAAAGCTGAGCAGCAGTTCTGAGGACCTGTGTTTTGGGCTGGAGTACCAAGTTTCTCCTGTGAGTCCAGCCCCTAGCAGAGCAACAACTGTACTTTGTAGGACCTGTTGAAGATACTACCCGAGACAAAGGACTTCAGTGGAGAAGGCCAGGGATGCAGTCTCCCTTTTCACTGTTGTACCATTTGTGCCTCTTCATTGATGCCTTTGCCATTATAGACAAAGTTTCCACTTTGTGTCTTGATTATGTACTGTGTGAAGTCTATGCAGGAATAAATAAGCCTGCCTGTAAACAGATAAAACCTTGGCTTAATGATGAAGCATCTGTTAGAAGACTCTGTTAGTCTGTGACTCTGTCCTCTTACTAAATCTGCGTCATTCTTCTGGGACCCATTAGTGATAAGAGCACAGTGTCGGCTTTGTTTCTAGCACCAGGCAAGCTCACATCAGCTGCCGGGTTCATCGTATGACATGTGACTGCCCTCAGTGTTTGTGAAATTTGAAAGGATGGAGTGTTTCATCCCAGTGCCATCATCCTGTGGGCTGACTTCAGCCCTCTGCTGCTGGGGACATTGACCAGGTCTTATCCACCCAACAGCGGTCATGGTCTTGTTTGTTTGTTTAGCTTTGATTTAAAAGTTAAGCTTTCAGAGCCAATAGGGTATAAATCCCTGTTAAAGTTTAACTGTTGTTTGTAAAATTGGAATGTGTCTTGATTGGATATATTGTGATTTGGCTAATGGTCAAACCAGAACTAGCTAAATAGGGAAAGTGGCAAGCCTGGTGAAATACATATATGTTGCTGTTACAAGCTCATATTTGTAAGGGCACAGCAGCACAGGGCTCTGAAGTGTTGTACTAAGAGCGGTGAAGGTAATGGTGGTGTCTCTGGGCTGGTGTTCTTGAGAAGCAACTCATTTGACGTAGCACATTTTCAGGTCTGGTATGACACGGATACTGTCACAAAACCCAACACCTACTGAAGAGATTGCATCATTACTAGGTTAAAAATGTATCTATTCAGGAATACCCCACAATTCCGTCTCAGTTATGAAACTCTTGTGAACTCTCATTATTTTTAAAGATATGTATATAATTTTAGTAGATGCATATTACATTCTGTCATGATTCTTTTTTGAATTGCTGCGTATTCTCCTGGTAGTGTGTACTTTTTCTCTTTTTTCACTAATCCACAGGAAACATGGTTGCATCAAGCCCAAGTATCTAGGTCTTGATTGCACTTCTACTTTCACATGCATCCAACTGTATTCAGTAGCTTGGAGTGGTGCATTTTAAAAGCTATTTTAAAACATGCTTCCTGTAAAATAATTTTCTTGTGTTTACCAGGAAACAAGAACTCTTAAATCATGGCAGGGAAACCAAAGCTGCATTATACCAAGGGAAGAGGGAAGATGGAGTCAATCCGATGGCTGTTAGCAGCAGCTGGGGTTGAGGTTTGTATTTTATTTTTTATAATGTGATCAGACTAATCTGTGATTAAAATAAGTGTTCTTTGGAAAGGTTTCCCAGTTACATCTATGCTTAGAGAGATGCATAATTTCACACATTGTGATGCAGAATACTTCAATTCAGTGGTACACTCTCTCATGTTGTATTTATTTAATGTTTTGCTTGAGGAACAGTTGCCCAGTAAAAGGATTTTAACATACAAAGAGAATTGTTGGTGTCAGTTTTGAAATGTACTTCGAGCTGAGGAGATCTGAAATTGTTGCTACAGACCAAAACGTGGATCTCTGACTTTTTCTGAATGCTTGTCACTTTTCTCTTTGTCATGATTGTTCTCCACTGAAAGGCCATGCGTACCACATGAAAATCTTTAGAATATTATCTCCAAAAAGAGTGCTTTTTGTTCTTTGGGTCAGGACCTGAGTAGGATCAATCAGAAAAGCTGCCCTGAAGGCAGTGAGGGAGCAGAGATGAAGAGTAGGAGTAGGGGGGTCAACACAATTATGAGATGTATGGGGAATAGTATGGAGAGGTGCCGTCTAACTTCCAGACTCCTTTCCACTTCCCCATTGCCTTTGGAGTGACACAGTGTTGTTTTATATTTTTGCTTTTCAGTTTGAGGAAGAATTTATAGAAAAGAAGGAAGACCTAGACAAATTACTGAAAGGTGAGTCTGTAAACTGTGCCCCAAACATAAATTCACACCAATATAACAAACAGACAACAGGTGAGATTTTTGTAGGACCTCCAGTATGACCTGTAAAGATAAGATTTGAGAGGCCTGTTTTGCTTGTAGGATGCTTTCATCCCTCAGAATTGGAAATGTCTTGGTGTCTTACCAGGTCTCTCTCAGAGTCAGTGTAGTACTACAGCAGTCTGAGTAGTTTCCTTCCTTTTCTTCCCTAGGTGGAGTCCTGATGTTCCAGCAAGTGCCCATGGTGGAGATTGATGGGATGAAGATGGTGCAGACCAGAGCAATCCTCAGCTACATTGCAGGGAAATACAACCTCTATGGAAAAGACCTGAAAGAGAGAGCCTGGTACTGTAACAGTGTATACTGTCCTTACGATTTTTAACATTTATGAGAAAAATATTGCTCTGAGATATCTGCATGTAAAAGTGCATATGCACCTGCCAGTGCTTTGTCCCCTCAGATCCAGTGACTTGGTGAATGGACTTTGTGATTGATAAGTGATTGTTAATTGTTAACATAGTGAGAACCACTTATGGCCACCTTCAGGCTCATTTGAATTCACCGAGGCCAGAAGTGCATTAAGTTCCTGGGCAACTGCAGAAATTAGTACAATAATAAAGGCTCAGTATGCCTTTTTGAAAATTTTTCTCATTAAAATGGAAAACAGTAGGAAAAACTACATCTGCCTGCAAAAAAATGAAATGTCTTTAAGTGTTCTAATTTCCTTTTTTCAAAATGTAAAGAATCTTTCATAGCTGATTTTAAAAAAAGACATGTTTAGTGGCTTAATGTTACTGGAAGTTAAACCACTGTTTCCTAATATTACTTTAATATGTAAGCTGTGGATACTTTCCATTGTGATAACTAAAGGGGTAATGCAAGAGCAAAAATTCTTGTTTACACTTCAAAAAAAAAAAAGTCATGCAAAAGTTCTATTAAGTCCTTAACCTAACTGACTAGAACTCACTGTCAAGGGTTTATTCTGTGATACTGGAGGGGCAACTCCAGAGATTGTGGGTGTAATTATGGACTGCACTGGCATTTGGCACCCATTTTTTGCCAGAATCTTTTCATGATTAGACCTAAAAACTGGGAGTTTTTTTGACTCTAGAGTGGTTTGCATATGTGGTCTTTTCTCCCACAGCATAGATGAATAGGTTATCAATGGAAAATGGTGTTAACTCCACCTTAAACACATCAGTTGCAGACTCTTATTTATACCTTGCTTGTTGCAGACACTGTGAGCCTGTTCATGAAAGTCTGTGCTTTGGAAAAAACTGACCTGGAATCAGAGGGAGAACAAGAAAATAAACTTAGGTTGTACGTTACATTCACTAATTAGCATTTTACTCAGTGATCACTTCAGCATTGTATTTCAGGAAAATAACCAAACCGGAATGTTCAAATGATAAATGTAAAATAAAAATGTTTGTTTCAGGATTGATATGTATGTGGAGGGAACAACAGACCTGATGGGAATGATCATGGTCATCCCTCTTCAAGCAGCTGATGCAAAAGAAAAGCAGCTTGCCTTAATCATTGAACGAGCTACAACCAGGTACTTCCCTGTATATGAAAAGGTGAGCAATAAATTGCCAGTAGTCCACAAAGACAGTAAAACAGGGAACAGGTTCCCCACTCCCCTGCCCCCACACTTTCCAGAGGGCAAGTGACAGTACAACTCAAACTGTGTGGTGGAGCCAGTATTCAGCAATGTGAAAAGAGGGCCACAAAATAATACTCAGCTGGTTTCAGTACTGAATATCTTTGCTGTCTTCTTTAAAGACTCCTCAAAGAGCAGATCCTGCTTTTTAAACCTAGCTCAATGGCTAGTTGTTTGTGTAGCATTAGAGTAGGTGAGGCACAGACACGTTTCCTTCTCCTGTTTCTGCTACAAGGGTGATTGCCTTCTGGAAAAGCGTAGGCTGGAGAGATGGGGATGGCTGTGAAGCTGTGCTGCAACATTTACCACAACTTACTTAGTCTGTTACACCTACTAGTAGCTTTGGTAGACTGTGAGTCTTGCATCAGCAGTTTGCCATGGAAAAAATCCTTCCATACAGGAGGAAGGGTGGACAGGCTGTGTTCCTTCATTCCTGAACTGTTTCAAAATATAATCAGCAATCTCAAATTTTGCTGAAACATCTGGGAATTCACTTGACTTTTTTTTTTTTTTTTAATTAAAGTACACTACAGGTACGCTGTTGTAACTACCTGTTACAGTTACTTTGGTCCTGTTTCTTTCCATGATTTAAGTCCACGCACACTGAGACATGAGTTCTGATTTTTTTTGTTGTTGTGAAAATACCTATAACTTTCTAACTTTAAAGATTCCTGTATGGATTTGCTCTGCTGTGTATTTTTGTAGAAATATGCCCGTAATGAAATAGCTAGATAAAATTCTTACATCCTATGTAACCTTTTTAAAAAATTTGTTCATATTTTGTAGGCCTTAAAAGACCATGGGCATGATTATCTTGTTGGCAACAAATTAAGCTGGGCAGACATCCAGCTGCTGGAAGCCATATTAATGACAGAAGAATGTAAGCCTGATATACTGTCTGCATTCCCTCTGCTGCAGGTTAGTAATCTTCTGATGTCTTCTGATGTGCGCTACCTTGCCCCAGAGCTGCTGGGGGCTCCCCTTTCTCCAGCTCTGCTTTCCCCAGCTGTTCTCAGCTGGCAGGAGGTCACTTACTAACGCTACCGGTTTGTCCCTGTAACTGCTGCCTCCATGTCTTCAAACACAGCAGTGACCATCAGGAGGTGAAGTCTGCGGCCAGTTGTGCCCGCAGTTCCTGTCCTCTTTGCCAGCAAAATTGTATTTTGAAGAAATAATATACAAGAGCTGTTAAGTTTTTTATGTCTTGTCTTCCATGGTGTTTTGCCATGGTATTTCTGTCCATGCCTCTTTTTTTTGGCCCAAATACATCTGCAGGATTTGGATTTAAGCTGTGGTTTTTGCTTTTTCTTTTTTTTTCCACCTTTACCAGATGAGTCTAAAATCTTCAATATTAATTTCTTCCATTCCCATCTGGGAAACTAAGGTAAACTTTGTAGCACCAGCATTGCATTTAAAGGTTGGACCAGGTGGTCCTTGAGGTCCTTCCAACCTGGTATTGTATGATTCTGTGAGTGCAGATCAGAATAATAATACCTGCATTTTCCAAAAAGACTACTATGTTGTACATGTATTTGCTTGTTTGGTTGGTTGGGCTTTTGTTTGTTTGTTTGTTTGTTTTAAATGGAAAATGCAGAGTGCTGAACTGGTTATAAGGAGCTACTACTGTCCTCTGTTTAATAAGTATATCTGAGAAGTAAACATCCAAGTCATCTGATTTATAAGCTATAAAGGACAGAATTATAATTTCCTGACTCTCACTGGCTTTGCTGCTGCTTCTTACAGGCTTTTAAAGGAAGAATAAGCAACATTCCGACAATCAAGAAGTTCTTGCAGCCTGGCAGCCAGAGGAAGCCGCCACCAGATGACAAGTATATTGCTTCTGTGAGGAAGATATTCAATATCTAATCATGTCGCTGCTGAAGATAACACAACTATAGTATATTGTCAGAGCTGTGCCTTATCAGAGTAAACTGCATAGATGCATTCTATAGCTTGGATCGTATAGCCAGTCACATGGTTATCATTGAAGCAGAATGCACTTTTAATTTAGAGTAAGAGGCTGTTTTGGACCTGCTGAATCCAGAAAGTGGTATTTAATGGAACAATTGTGTGAAATAAAATATGCCGATACTTTGTGTTTGTTTAATTACAGTACATTCCTGGTAAGGTAAACTGTTCCAGCTGCAGCATTCAGAATGCTGTAAAAAGACCTCCCCCCCCAACTTCATAAGCTGCAGGAGAGAAGAGCCACTCCATAAAAATGGGGAAGTCATTTAAAATCAGGCTTAGAATCTTTTGGTTCTGCTCTCTGGCTGGCCCCCTAGGTCAAGGTTCGCTGCCCCTCTTCTGTATTTCACTGCTGTCTCTACTTTTAGAGTTGCAGTTTAAAAGATAAATACTTGGAAAAAAAAATAAAATTCATGATCCTCGTAAGTTTAGGAGCAAAAGTAAGAAACTAATTTAATCCCCATATGAATCTCTTAGAATTTTGTTCACTGAAAGATCAAAGTACATATGTTTAATTAGCCTGATGTGGTTTTCATCCATTGAAGCCCTCTGTTCCCTTGCTCATCTCTGCTTGCTTGGTCACAGTAAGGAAAATGCCACGTGATTGGGTTTGTTGTTTGGTTTGTTTTTGGTTTTGTTTTCCTAAGATTTTACCTTCTCCAGTCACTTCCCAAGTAGCTGTAAAGAGAACATTGCCCAGATGAGCCCCTAAGTGTTTTACATGAACATTACCTGGAAGCAGTAGCTTGCAATGCCCACTGTAGCACTCAAAGTTCATTGAGCTGCATTGCTATAGTGCTGTGATTGCTGAACCATCACAGAGACTGGCACAGGACATCACCTTTGTAGTCCGTGAGTCCTCAATCCCACAGGGATTTGTTGGATTGCTGAGGACACTACTTGTTTGGGCTTCTCAGCAATTTCAGCAAAAGCTTCTGGATTACAGTTGGGCTTGGAGGCCAGCCCCAGCTCCTGCCCCCATGGGGTAACTCTGAGAATGCATACACGGCTCAACTCTGGACATGCTCAAAACCACAAAATCTTCCTGCATCTAGTATCTGAGGCAGCAGCAACTACAGGATGGCTTCTGCATTTCAGCACTAGGTTGCCCATGCTTTTCATTGGAGCTTAATCTAAGGCAGCATTCACCTTGTCTACAGTACAAATACATGGTACCTGTTTTAAACCGGCGGTGAGTACAGAGCAGATCACCAGACTCTTCCATTGACAAAATGGCTCACCGGTCTGCATAAAACACCGAGATGCTTTGAACATTTTACATTTTATTTGAACACTAACAATAGTTTTGACATTTAGAACCAGGGGAACAAGATGCATGTGTCTGAAGGAAAGGTGGGTTTTCTAGTGCAACACCGTACAGACCTGTGCCTCTACTGATCAGTAATTGACAATATGATTAGAATCGATTACTTAATCTCAAAAGCTACAAAACTGTGGCTCAATGCAACATACCTTTTTAGCATAAACATGTATTCATATATATTCTTCTCTCAGACATACAGTGCAAGACCAACTCAATTTCTTGGGGCATTCAGCATCCCCTGAAAGATATAAAACTTAAAGATCTCTTGAGCTAATAGACTGCTTAAACAGAAGCAGATCCAAATGTATCAACAACAAAACACTTTTTAAAGTTTTATAAAAAAGCTTGCAAAATACCAACAAATGTCAATAATCAAGTTATAGGTACAGTTATTTTATAGAAAAGAGAAATGCAATCTAAGAGTTGTGTTGAAACTTGTCTTTCGCGTATGGAAAGCTTGCTTGTTTGTTCGGTAAGTGTGGCAGTCATACTTTGGTTCTCAAGTCGCTGAATTCTCCTACAGCAGCATAAAAACAAGCCTCAAGATCATCAAAAGGCTGCAAAAAACCCCACAACAGAACAAGAAACATTAATACGGCTGTGCATGAACAAAAGCAGTGAAATTCATCACTACATAACAATGCATTCATAAATAGCTGACACTACAGTCTCTAGTAACAACCTTTCAAAATGTCTAAGGCTACAGCCTCAGTGTCTGCTGAAACACCCAGTCTGCCTAGGCCTGAAGAACGACCCACAATAGAAAATAGTATTTTCCAGTTTAAATCCCGATTCTTAAATTTTGCATCTTAAAAATCTGCATCTGATTTTGATCACCCTGTCTGGATTGGGAGTAAAACTGTAAAAGGTGTTCCATCATATCTGCTAACAACAAAGCAACAGTTAATATTCCTTCAGAGGATGGAGATTCTGACTTACAGCTGAAAAATGTTTTGAGTTACAGACTCTCTGGGAAAAAAAGTTTTGACTTACTCAGTAATTTAATTTCAAAATAATAGGTACAGAAAATGATGTTTTCCAGAATGCCAAAATAAACAGCAGCAATAAAGCAGTCAAAGTGGTTAGAAACACCATAATTCACAGTAATACTGATCAAAATTCTTAGGTCAGACCAAAAATGTCAGTTTTCAAAGGTGCTGAACTTCCAGTAGTTTTGAATGCAGCACTACTAAACAAAAGTGTCAGTCTTTATTAAGGTGGCTGCGTTGTATGAAATTAGATGACTAATTTTATGCATGTGTGTTGGAAAACACTGAGGCCTACCTCAGGTTCTTCCAAGAGTCTTATCAATATGCATTAATATTTAATTGCAGATATCTCCTTTCCTTGCTGAGAAGGTTACTCCGTATCAGATGCACCCGCCTATTGAGATGAAAAAACTGTTCACTGGAAACAGGACTGTGACCTCCAAACTATTTCACTTAAACCATATAGTTGCTGGACGATAGTAACTTCCACTGATACTGGCTTGAATCAGGTGCCAACTGGCAGCTATTAGAAAATCACTGAAATCTTTACATTAATATCCTCAATGTATGTTTACCTCATGCATGCTACTAGTCCGGCAGGCATTAATTTCTTGGACCTCTTGAACCTCATTCCCATTATAATGGTCAAAAGAAAAGCTGAAACTGTAAAAGACAATTCAATATATTGATGTTCTCACTTCTCCCAGTAGACTACGCAGGAACATGGAGAGTAATCAAAGGTTGTTGCTATGTTTGCTGTGAACTGTAACTTAATAAAACATTAGATCAGGGATACAAGTCTATAAAAACATTCAGCCCGGAGTACAGTTGGCTTTTCATCCACCAGTAACCCCAAGCCCCTTTCCCCAGGGCTGCTCTCAATCCCCTCACCCCCCAGACTGTACTGATACTGGGGGTTGCCCCGACCCAGATGCAGGACTTTGCACTTGGCCTTGTAGAACCTCATGAGGTTCACATGGGCCCACTTCTCCAGCTTGTCCAGGTTCCTCTGGATGGCATCCTGTTCCTCTGGCACAGCAACCGTACCATTCTGCTTGGTGTCATCTGCAAAATTCCTGAGGGTGCGCTCAATTCCACTGTGCCATTGATGATGATAGTGGAAGGTATGCCACTTGTTTTTGCAACAGAATAATGGCTATTGACATCTCCTTCGTCATGACCACAAGTCATGACGAGGAACCATCATACGAAGGAACTATCCTTGTCTGTGGCAAGATGTGGGCAGCCCAAGAGAGCTACAAATACAGTGTACGTAGCAGAGAACAAACATCATGAAAGGAATCGCATCTTCTTGCTTTTGCCTAAAACTGGAGGTAGCAATGAACTGATTGGGCATGGGGATTTCATATCGAACTAATGGCTGCAGAGTGTTACATAAATGAGAAGATGAATGAGGATACATAAAACTCTGCTAAGATAGCTAGCTTTGTTAAAGAACTGTCACCTGAAGTGCTTTCTAGAAGTGGGGAGAGAGGCAGGAGCTCTCATGGGCAGCTGGGCTTTACCACTCTTGCAGCCAAACCAAAGGCAGTTACACAAATGTCTTCCCTTTTTTATGGAGCAGTTAAACCACGTGGCTAATTCTCTTCAAACTTCACTGCCTACTCCTGTGGACCGTTCTCTGCTCACAGGTGTCAAGGATTAGTTTTAAACTCACTCCAGCATTATACAACAAGCTCTGACAGTCACAAGCATCTTATGAAACTCTACCAGCTATGCATGTGCACTCATTAAAGATACCCTGCAGTAAAACCTATTATGCTCCATTATCCATTGCTGTTCTTTTCTGGTCTCATAGTCTTGATCCTCTCAGGAATGTCTGAAGAGTGGACTATTCCAGAGTATGCATCTTGCCTAGTGCCCCAAGTATATTTACAATTAATTAAAAGCTATAAATCTTGTTCACTCTGTAATATTTTTTTGCTGGTTACCAGTATCTGGCTTTTCAAATGTGCCAATGACATTTTAAATTCTTCAACTTTAAGACCTGATTTTCAAAAGTGTTAGATATTCACTGTTTCACCTAAAATCAGACAAAGAAATTCAGTAAATCAAGCCAAATTCAACTCGGTAAATCAGATTCGGATCAGAAATTCAATAAATCAAGTGCATCCAGTTGCACTCTGAATAGCACCAACTGTTGCATACTGAAATCTGAATTTCTACCCTAGTCCAGCCACATAAAAACACATTAATGCATACAGGAAAGTACGTCACACCGAACAGCTACAAATTTACATATACTTAAGGCTGTGTCTTCATTCCAAACACGGGGTTTTTTTAACATGGAGATAACTTAATCTGAGCAAGGTCATGGTGGCAAAACTGGAATATCCAATTTAAGCCATCTAGGAGCAGATCAGGTGTGCCATTATCACCTGTACTAAAGAACCCAGTTGGTGCAAACACACTTTGCCAGTAATGCTATTCAACACTTTTTAGCAATGGAGGTTTTTACAACTGTGGCTGGTGTAAAGCACAAAGCCAGCATGAACACTGTATCACAAATTCTAACTAAATTCAGAAAAAGTGATTGTGTGCTCACACGATCTGGATTAAATGTATTTTAAATGTACTTCCGCACTTCAAGTGAAACCACAGCCTAAGCCACCTTTGCTAAAACTGAGTGAGAGAAGCTTCGAATAGCTCCTACTACAAATCAGTTGTGCAAAGTTAACGCTGTCCTCCTTGGAGACTGTAGTTCCTTTCCTCCATGAGTGTTTCATGGCAAACTAACATGGCAATTATTGCAGTCTGTATCCTGTCTTCCTTAGCAGCAAATGAAAAACACTAAATCAAACTATTTGTCTCACTGGGATCTGAGGATTAAGCAAGACTGGATTCAACACCTGCTTTACTTCTCAAATTACACTCTAATCTGTAGCTCTACTGATTTTATTCCAGTACTCTCCCACGTTTCTCAGCTTGATTTCACAATATTTTCAGTGTTATGTAACCAGCTAATAAAAGGGGGTGCTGCTAGGTGGTAGCACACACCTGCTGCCTTTGTGTGAATGATCTGCCTTATCTTATAAACGTTTAAGCTCTTGAATTTTGCAAGCTAAGTTCAACTGTCTAACTCTATTTAAAAAATAACATTTAAACCAAAGCAATATGCAGAATTTAATATAAGAGAGAGTTTCATCTGTAATTCTGGAAACTGCTTGCTCTTGTTGCTTTTTTGGGGGTACTTTTTTTTTAGTTTACTATAGTAAAACACTTACATAGTGATATCTTCACATTTCTTGGATCACGCGTTACGCAGTAAGCTCCATAACCAGTCACAGAACCAAAGGTGAGACCTGCAGCTAATGAGATTTTACTACCTGCAATAAAGCATTCAAGCGTTATTTCTCAATACAATGTCTTTAAGCTCAACCTTTACACAAGCAGTTCTTTCTCTACACAGTATTATCCAAATAATTTAAAAACAGAACTGATTTTGCCACAGTGCAGCTAGTTTACTCAGTGGGAATAGAGAGATAATATTTCTGTAACTGAGTCATTCCCTTGCATGCACTAGTTCAAAACTGACTATATCAGAGGGAGGTGATCAGGATCTAGCAATACTTCCAATTTGGGAAAAACAATCTTTGAAGCACAAACCTAAATTTAGCTATTTTCTCTACCATGCATATCTTTAGAAGCATTTTTGTAATTTCTCTGGATGACCTGTTCATTTTAACTATATTTTACAGCACTTGAGAATCTCAAAAAATGGGAGAAATGTGTCAATATATATAAAGGGTAAATTGGACAACACATGTAGTCATAAGCCTTTCATTCTGACATCAGTCCTGGACAAAGAAATCGTTTCACCAACAGCACATATAAATAATAAAGAATTAGAAAAGAGTTAAAGCAATTAGATGACAATGAAGATGAAAATAAGGCTTTTAGAAGTAATCTGACATCTTCTTTCAGTGCTATTACAAAACTGGTTCAGTAAGCCCAGAGTTTCAGTAACGTATCTAGGTTTCTGAATAGGCATTTGACTTTGTACTGTATGTATAAAAGGGTCAAATCAACAAAGCAGGCATTATCTGGATTAAGCCATTCAGGTCCCAGTCCTGTTATATTGAATATTTTCAATCAAGAATTTGCAAGACAGCAGAAATCATTACCAATAAAAAAATATCTAGATTTGCCACAAGGACTAACCAGCTATTAAAGAGTGAAGAGAACAAATGAATGGGATAGCCAGTCAGCACAGATGGGTGCAAACAAAAAATAAAACAAGTATTTTCAGAAAGTCAGATATAAAGCCATGTCTCTAAGAGCAAAGCATGTGTGCACTGTGCAGGGAAACAGTGACCCTGAATCACAAAAACTGTGAAGGATAATGGCCATGGCGAAGAAGACTGCTGTGCTGCTGGGAGGTGCACTCTGTGAGAGCGCTAACGGGGACCAGGCTGGAGATGCTGCCTGTCCATCCACAGTACTGCTGCGACCTCTGCTGGGATGCTGTCCTTAGCTCAGGAGCTGGATGGGACTGCAAAAATGGCTGAAATACGGAAAATTAGCTTTATAGCACATGATAACCTAAAACCTATCTGATTATCTTAGAGTTAATATCTAAGAGATAATTAACCACCAGATCAGAATACACAAGAATTTTCTTTCCAGTGTACATCTGGAAATCTCAGAATCAAGTTTGGATGACTCCATAAAAATAAACATTAATCAAAAATAATCTACTGTGCTTAACACGGGAATGACTAAAGGAAATTAGAAGGCCCAAAATAACACTGAAGGTCAAAGATAATGTAACAGACCCTTTCTGCCCTTTCATCAGTTAAATTAACAGAAAAAGGTGACCACTCAAATGCTTAAGTTGACCCAAGTAAATCTCATGAGACTCAGCTCATTTATAGCAGTGCAGGATGGATTTAAGATGCAGTTGTGTTCATGATAGCAACATTTTCACATCTTGCATAATTTATTTTTTACAAAGCATAATGGAGGGGAAAGTCAAATGCTTCATTTCCAAATCCTGCTGTCCCACCTTTTACCTTTACGAGTGTATCCTACAACACCTCCAACAGCCAGCAATGCAGCATATGCAAAACCAATCCAGTCAATAGCCATGGTCCCAACTCTGGAGAAGAAAACATATTGCAACTGAAGACAAACAAGTTCCTCTCTCCAGGTAAAAAAAAAAAAAAATCATTACTTAAAGTGGTCTAAGCAACACTATACTCTCCTAAATCTTGTTCAACTACTGTGTCAAAAACATACAAAAGGTGAAGATGCACTTAATGGCTATTTTACTTTTCTTTTCACTAACTGCTGCCCTTCCTCACACTTCAGTATCTAGGGGAAACTGGTATTTTGGGCACGTATTTGGCATCTGCTTTTCCATTAAAAAATGCATGCAAAAACCTTGACGCTACCTGAAGTATCAGATCTGCTGCACTTGTACTTAGTGGCTGATCTGGACATATGCTATGGGTACATTACAGGTCTTCTGAGTGTAGAGCTTAGTACCCTTTCAACCAGGATGTACCTGGAAGGTGTCACAGGCCCTGCAGCACCAGGGAAAACCAGTTTTCAGAGTTAACCCAAAGCTTTATTCTAGCTTTATTCTAGCTATTCTCTATTCTATTCTGTGCCCCTTTTGTTTCACTTTTAGATTTTGATTCACTGTCCAAAGTTAGGCTTCCAACCTCCAAAAAAACAAGTTACTGTTGCAATACTGATCCCTGCTTCCCGCACTGTGCTTTGTAAAGGCATGAGTGGCTGTGATTTGCAGCCCGACAGCCCCAGCAGTGCTACTGCCTCTCCCCCCCCAGCCAGTGGATACACTTTTCCCCTCCACCTCCCAACTTAAGTGTACGCCTAATTAAGAGTATCCTTCTTTTTATCCACTGGGTGTGCCCTCGGTCACAGTGTTAAAGGGGAGGCAGGAAAGAGCACACACTCATCATTTCAAGTCAAGCTTTTAATATTAAAGTCAGCAACTCACAGCAAGCCCCGACAGCTTGTAAACCCCTCAGGAAGGCAGCTGGTTTTAGGGGACCACGACGCCCCCAAAACCGAGATTTGCAGTGGC